CTGAGGCAGCTGCACTGCGTGTGGACACAAACCATTAGGCCAGGCTCCCAAGGCCCAGCCCAGCCCAGTGCAGTACAGGACACAGTCTTCAGAAGTCACCAACCTCAGAACCTGTAAAAACAATGACACCTGCTTGCTTGTTTCCCTGGATGGTCCAATGGTAACCAAATAATGTGCATGAAATTGCTGTGTAAATTATAAACTCTACATGAAAGCCATTATTATTTACTTTCACCACTAAGAATTAAGTAACCATTCTAGTAACCTCTTCAGGCATGACCAACCATAGCAAACACAAGATGGCTGCTGTTGTATACGCCTTGGAGCCCTGACAGACAGTCCAGGAGAGAGAATGCGGCTGCTTTGAGCCACCAGGCTGGGGCCAAAGTAGCAGCTGGACACTCTTCGTGCAGATTCAGAGACCCTGTGAGCCAGAGGGCCTGTGGGCTATAACAGCAGGTAGTTCTGATTCTAAGGGCCTGGGTTGGGGGCTACAAGTCTTCTGCTTCCCGAGGGTGGCCCCTGCCGCTGTGGAAACAGCTTCCATGCTGTCTTCCAGGTTCTCCTTAGGGCCTCTCCATGCTTGCACCTCCTTTCCTCCAGCCCCTGGGTTCTCCAGAAACAGGTCCCCCCAGATCTGAGGCCCCTTCTATCTCTTTTCACCATGTCTCAGATGAACGTGGCTCGGAGACAATTTCTCTTCATGCAACTTGCCTTTGTCCTTTGCCAACGTTCACACTCATCAGAGGGGAGTGATTCTGCCTCCTAAACCACTGGGGTCCTGTGAACCTGTACCTGGCTCACGGCCCCAGCACAGGTTCCTGGTGTTGGGCCACGTGCCCTGAGCTCTGATTTCTAGGCAAACCCTCCTTCCTTCCTGAGAAGCCCTGCAGTTCTCCAGCCTCTCTTGACCATGATGGGAGAATCACAGCAGAGGACAGAGACCCATCCAGCCCTCTCCTGACCATGATGGGAGAATCACAGCAGAGGACAGAGACCCCATCTAGCCCTCTCCTGACCATGATGGGAGAATCAGCAGAGGACAGAGACCCTACCAGATATCAGAAATGTGGAGAAACAGGACCTTCTATTCACTGCTGGTGAGAGACACTGTGGCAGTTTCTAAAAACTCTGGACAGATTTTATCAGTACTCCTGGTGGTTTATCCCAGAACAATGGGGGTTCATGGAATTATGTACATTATATACAAAGTCATGCCCATGAATGTCCAGTTTTATTCATAATAGTTCCAAAATGGGAAAAACCCAATGTCCTCTAACAAACTGGTGTGTCCACACCATGGAATGTAACTTCAATAGAAGGGACAGACCATGTGTGCAACAACCTGGCAGGTCTCAAGGGAATGAGGCTGTGTAGAAAATGCCAGTCTTGGCTTGGCGCCTGTGGCTCAAGAGGCTAAGGCGCCAGCCACATACACCTAAGGTGGCGGGTTCGTCCCCAGCCCGGGCCTGCCAAACAACAATGATGGCTGCAACCAAAAAATGGCCAGGCGTTGTGGCGGGCGCCTGTGGTCCCAGCTACTTGGGAGGCTGAGGCAGGAGACTCGCTTGAGCCCAGGAGTTGGAGATTGCTATGAGCTGTGATGCCATGGCACTCTACCCAGGGGGATAGCTTGAGGCTCCGTCTCAACAAAAAAAAAAAAGAAAGAAAATGCCAGTCTTGGGATAGCGCCTATGGCTCAGAGGAGTAAGGCACCAGCCCCATATGCCAGAGGTGGCGGGTTCAAACCCAGCCCTGGCCAAAAGTTGCAAAAAAAAAAGAAAATGCCAGTCTCAAAGGTCACATGATGTGATTCATGTCTGTAACATTCCCAAAGTGACAAGATTTCAACCGGACTGAGAGTGGGTTCTGTTATGTGAGACAGAAGGTTTTGGTACATGGTGAAGGGGATCTGGAGGCAGAACCTGTCCCTTTGAGAGCTGTGCCATCTTTGCCAGGCCTGAGTGTCCTAGAAGGACAATGTCCACATCCATGTCCCTCAAACCTGTGAACAGAATCCAACCCAGCACAAGGGCCTCTGAAGGTGTGATCAGGTTAAGGGTCTTGAGATAGAAGATTGTCCTGGATCACTTGGTGGCCTTGCCATAATCCAGGGGTTCCAAAGAGGGAGGTAAGAGAGTCCTCAAGCCAATGGAGACACAGTCGCTGTCAAAGGCTGAAGATACAGCACTGCTGACCTGGAGACAGCCCAGGAGTGTGGCACCCTGGGGGCTGCATGGAGGCAGGGGTCCCCCTGGAGCCTGCAGCAGGAGCCCATGCCTTGACTTTGGCCCTCTGGGACCTCCAGAGTGGTAAGAGAATACGCATCGCGTGTTGTTTAAAGGCACTGAATTTGTGGATTTGCTACAGCAGCAATAGGAAGCTGGCACACTGTGGATTTAAAGCTATTTCCCAGCAAGTTTCAAGAAACACACCAGCCAGGACAGGACTGAAGTCCCACCCAGGGCAGGGACAAGATGTCTTCTCCCATGGCCTGGTGTTCTCCCTCATAGGGCCTGGCACTTGCCCAGCACCGTGACTGAGACTGGCTAGCATTTCTCTGCCACCCTGCTGAGTCATAACTTGCCTTCCCCCAGCTCCTGCAAATGCCTAGGGTCTGTCAGGACACCCTGCTGCTGTCCAGAGAGGCTCTTGCTCCAGTACCCAGGGTAGCCTGAGGACACAAGAACAAGGCCACTGCACCTGCAGGGACACAAGCACAGGGAGCAGCATGCTTGTCCCCCTGCTGAGAACCAGCTACCTAACCATTCATTTAAAAATTTCCAACTCAGCGCCTATGGCTCAAGCGGCTAAGGCACCAGCCACATATACCTGAGCTGGCAGGTTCAAATCCAGCCCAGGCTCGCCAAACAATGACAGCTGCAACCAAAATAGCTGGGCATTGTGGCAGGCGACTATAGTCCCAGCTATTTGGGAGGCTGAGGCAAGAGAATTGCTTAAGCCCAGGAGTTAGAGGTTGCTGTGAGCTGTGAATACCACAGCACTCTACCCAGGGTGACAGCTGGAGGCTCTGTCTCAAAAAAACAAAAAAAAATTTCCCTAGACTCAAGCCCCAGTCACTGGTCCAGAATTGATGGAATTCAGTTTCCCCCTTTACTCAGAATTTACCTTCATCAACACATTCTGTAATTCCTCACAGACCAGGGGAAATTGTTCTGACAGCTGTAGTTTCCTAGAGCAGCCTAAAGTGCGGTGAGGCCAGTGGCCGGGAGCCGGGCCAGGCTCCCCGTGAGGTCTCCAGCAGGAGCCTGGCACCTGGGTGAGAAGCAAGATAAGCCATCTTCCCTGTACTGAGGACCAAGAAAGACATCTTATGATTACATTTTATCTTAAGCCAGCAATCGAAATTTCTTTCTTGGAACTCCATGTTTCATGATGTGAAGGTGAAGACAGACAGCATTAGCTTTTCAAAGGCAGGTTAGCAGCAGGTGATATTGCAGAGGTTGTCCTGGATACCCCACCCAAAGCTGTTTCCTTTCCCTGGCATGGTTTCAGTCACAACAGTGTAATTTCTGCCTCAGTTTCTTCTGCTTTTTTAGTTATGTTTTCTGTACTGTTTTCTCTGAGGCAACCACAAAAAGCAACAGCTTTATTGTTGAAACAAATTTCCCAAGTCTCTTGTGGCAGAAATGAGCGGTTCTCCAGCACAGCCCTAAAGATGTAAAGTGCTTGCTGGACAGAATTTCTAGAGCGTCCACTTGTGCTCCTGAGTGTTACAAGATGAGGCAGATGGCCCAGCCTGATACATAGGAAGGAGCCTGTTCAAATACTACCTCCATGAATATGAATAAAAGCAGTTTCCTGCCCAGCATCTTATTACACAGAAGGCTTTGCCTGTTAGCCTTTCAGGTGTGCCAGAGTCTGGACCTGTCCTTGCAGCCTAACAAAGCCTCCACAGACCCAAACGTTTCCGCATTTCTGGCAAGTCAAACACCTGCTTACCGTTTGGGTGAAGTACCCACTAGGTAGCTTCTCACTGTCTTGGGAGTGTCGTCTTCCCCTCAACTGCCATCCCAGGCCAAGGGGGTGCTGAACGACTGTGGGGGTCTCTGCTGCTGGCCAGGAATTTGGGCCTCTGGCTCTTCCTGATCTAACGCTGTGACAGGCCCCTCGCCATGCGACCTGGCCTTTCACCTGGCCAGCAGTGCTGTGGGGCTGTAGGCAGGCAGGGGGCAGGTGTGGGGCCCCCAGGACCTTTCCACGAGGAAACAGCAGCTCCATTTTCTTCCTTTCCGTTGATGGTACTGACCTGGTGGGTGATTAACAGGGAACTTCTTTGGGGTGGTTTGCTTAGAGCAGGGCCCACGCAGAAACCTAAGAACTTTTAGAAAACTAGGGGGACCAAGCCTGTGGATGCCCTCCCATCCAAGTCGACGCCTTTCAGTCCTCTCCCTCACGTTCCAGGTCTGCTGGTGCTGGGAGACGCAAGGCTCTCTGTCCTGCTCCAGGGTAACCGTCCGTTTGAGAAAGTGACTTAACAGGGACGCGTAACGCATCAGTACCCCAGAGACCCACGTTAAGGTCCTTCCCTTTTATTACTCTGGAGCCTTGACTGATTCAGCCTTTCTCGATTGTGTGACCCTGGCTGTGACCCTGCACCCTGGGTGGGGTCGCACCGCGCGGGCCCATCCAGAGCAGCAGCGCGGACTGGGCTTCTAGACCCCTGTTGGCTTCAGGCACAAACAATGGGCTCTGCAGTGTCCCTTGGGGCCCAGACCGATCCCGCCCCGCCCCTTCGTGCAGCCCCGCCCCTCTGGGCAAACTCCGCCCCTCCCACGTCGCGACCCCTCCTTGGCTCCAGTCCCAGCCCGGGTCCCTTTCCGGGTCTCTCAACCCCCTTCCAGCCCCGCCCCTTCCTCCCGCGGGCCCGCACCCGGCCGACCTCCCTCTGCGGCGCCAGCGTCTTGGCGGGAGTGAGAGTGCGGTGCATGCGGTATCAGTGCCCGGGGCCCCTGCACGTGGCGGGCGCCGGCCAGGCCATGCCGCGCGCGCCCCGCTGCAGGGCTGTCCGCAACCTGCTGCGCAGCCGCTATCGCGAGGTGCTGCCACTAGCGACGTTCGTGAGGCGCCTGGGGCCCGCGGGCCGGCGGCTCGTGCAGCGTGGGGACCCGGTGGCCTTCCGCTCGCTTGTGGCCCAGTGCCTGGTGTGCGTGCCCTGGGGCGCGCGGCCGCCGCCTTCTGGCACCTCCTTCCACCAAGTGGGTCGCCCGGGGATCCGTGTTGGGTGGGACGAGGGTCCGGCCGCGGGATCTAGGCGGGACGCGGAGCAGTGCGCCCCAGACTCCCTGACACTTCGCGCAGCGACTTATAACCCCTTCCGCCTGCAGGTGTCCTGCCTGAAGGAGCTGGTGGCCAGGGTAGTGCAGAGGCTCTGTGAGCGCGGCTCCAGGAACGTGCTGGCCTTCGGCTTCGCGCTGCTGGACGGAGCCCGCGGCGGGCCGCCCGTGGCCTTCACTACCAGTGTGCGCAGCTACCTGCCCAACACGGTGACCGAGACGCTGCGCGGGAGTGGCGCATGGGGGCTGCTGCTGCGCCGCGTTGGGGACGACGTGTTGGTTTACCTGCTGGCGCACTGCGCGCTCTACCTGCTGGTGCCTCCGAGCTGCGCTTACCAGGTGTGTGGGCCGCCTCTGTATGAGCTCTGTGCCTCCACCGAGGCCAAGCCTGCCGCGTCCCCCAGACATCGACCCATGCGTCGCGCGGGCGAGACACGAAGGGGGCCAGGATCTACACGCCACTCCTGGAACCGCAGTGACGGGGAGGCCAGCGTAGCTTTGGACCTGCCAGACCGTGGTGCGAGGCGGCGTCCGGGCAGCGCTGGTGGAAGTCCTCCTTCAGCCAAGAGACCTAGGTGTGAACCGGCCTGTGAGCTGGGACCAGGACGTGAGGGGCAGGCCACCCAGGCCTATCCAGGCAGTGTGCATGGGCCGAGTGACCGCAATCCCCGTGCTGTGGCACCCACCAGAGCCACCATAGAAGCCACGTCTTCCATTAGTGATAGGTCTGAGATGTGTCGCTCCTATCCATCAGTGGGCCGCGCGTGCCAGATGGGCCTTACGGCCACACCGCAGTCACCGCAGCTTCCAAGTGTGCCTCATTTCGGAATGTACGCAGAGACCAGCCACTTCCTCTACTGCTCTGGTGACAAGGAGCGGCTGCGCCCCTCCTTCCTGCTCAGCTCCCTGCGGCCCAGCCTGGCCGGTGCCAGGAAACTCATAGAGCACATCTTCCTAGGCCCAACACCGCGGCGGGCAGGATTGTCCCGCAGGCGGCATCGTCTCCCACAGCGCTACTGGAATATGCGGCCCCTGTTTCGCGAGCTGCTTGGAAACCATGCACGGTGCCCCTACGGCGCGCTCCTCAGGACACACTGCCCGCTGCGGGCTGTGGCCACCACTGCTGCAGGTGTCTGTGCCACCGAGGAGGATGCAGACCAGAGGTACCTGGTGCGGCTGCTCCGCCATCACAGCAGCCCCTGGCAGGTGTATACATTCCTGCGCGCCTGCCTGCGCCGCGTGGTACCCGCCCGCCTCTGGGGCTCCAGGCACAATGAACGCAGGTTCTTGAGAAACGCGAAGAAGTTTGTTTCCCTGGGGAAGCACGCCAGGCTCTCCCGGCAGGAGCTCACCTGGAGGATGAAAGTTCAGGACTGTGCCTGGCTGCGCAAGAGCCCAGGTGAGCTGGGGCCTCCTGGGACCAGGCCCTGTGGAGTCAGATACATGGGTGCCCTGCCTGCTGTGTGCTCCTCAGCCTCACTGGGCACACTGGCTTGCCCAGGCTGGGGCAATTCCATCTGTTCTCTGCCTCTGCCCTCTCCCTCCATTTGGTTTGCACAAACCTGCATGCCCACAGCCATGCTCTGCCACATAGGCAGGTTCCAGGGCTGGGGGCGCTGTGCTGACAGTGGTGGGGGTGGTCCGCAGCAGGTTATTCATAACCTGCTTCTCAGCTTCAAGGTTTGTCAGGAACACGGTGCCCTACTGACAGAAATGGGAGGTGGGCATGAGACCCCTCTTGCTGGGTGTGGGAAGGAAGTGCCTGGATTCCGTGGGAACATCTGTCGTGTGTGCTGGTGATGCAGTCTGTCGGGGGCCTTCCCAGGACAGGATGCGCTCTTGTCACTCAACACTCAGGTCATATGTGCTGGTGATGCAATCCATCAGGGCGGACTTCCCGGGACGCGCTCTTGTCACTCAACACTCAGGTCGTATGTGCTGGTGATGCAGTCCATCAGGGCGGACTTCCCGGGACTCGCTCTTCACTTTTATTGTGGTATAGCATCACTTGGCTCTGTGTACCATTCAGTCTTTAGCTCAGCCCAGAGTTTGCAGCAGGGTGCTAGGACTTATCCATCTTGCATGGCTCGAAGTCTGTATCGTTGGGCAGCTGCTGCCTGTCGCATGCTACAGCACAGATAGAACTTGAAGACTTCTCACCAAGCACTTCAGCCAGTCCTGCCCTGCCACTCACTTTTGGGTTTTGGGCTCCAGCTTCCATCACAAAAGAGTTTGAATTCTGTGATCACAAATCTGCCTCTGAACATTGCCTTTTTCTGATTTTGGAGGAGGTTACAGTGCTGTGTGATGTGGGAAATTACAGGGTGGTATTTTCCCAGGTGCCTGAGCTGCAGCCCCCTGGGCCTCCTGCCCCACTCACTTGAGCTGTGCCTCTGGCCATTTGTTCTTCTGTAGCTGTGGCTACTCCAGTGGCTCATTGCTGGATAAGTGACCCTGGATGTGACTTGGTCTTTAAAAGCTCTTTTTGGCCACATTTCCTTCCCCTGTTCTCCCGGGGTACAGGACTCTATGGGCCCTCGTCTCCCTGCCTGCCAGGCATGGTGCTTAGCACAGGCCCCAATTGCCTCTGTGCAGCCAGGCTCCACCCTGGTCCTGCCCAGCCAAAGGCTAGACTGAGGGGCTGTCTGTATTTGTGCCCATGGCGAGAGGTGCCTTAGCCTCCTCATTTGTTCACTTTTTCCTTTTTCCTTTAGTGGCCGCCCTCATCATCTTACTCTGGACACCTGCTGCTCCTTACCTAGGCTGGCGCTGTCTCTGGTCACCCCTTCTGTTGATTGGATCCTACATCCGGCTGCACAATCACTTTCCCTAAACCACAGGTTGAGATGTCCCTGTCTTGCTCTGGGAACCCCTTGGATCTTGGCAGTGGAGTTCTGCATCTCCATGGGGCCTTGTCGGCCTTCTCTGGTCTTTGTGGTGAATTTCACTAACTTCTCTCTGATGTTCACACTCACCCTTCCTGCTTCTCTTGGTTCACTCTGTTGTCCTTTTCTAACTTCACATTTCCGAGAATACCTTAGCTGTACCCTGTATTTTCATGTGAAATGATCTTGATATCACTTGTATTTTCTAACTTATTCTATGATTTCTTCTTTGATCAGTGAGTTATTTGAACATCTTTTATTTTCCAAATGTATAGGTTATTTCAATTTTTGTTTTGTTTGTTGGGGGGAGACGGAGTCTACCCCTGTTACCCAGGCTGGAGTATGTGGCATTGTTAACGGCTCACTGCGGCCTCAAACTCCTGGGCTCACATGATCTCCCGCCTCAGCCTCCCAAGTAGCTGGGACAGCGGGCACCTGCCTGTAGTGGTCTGTATAACAACAATGACTTGACATTGTGGAGGCCTGTTTTGTAACCTGGATTCTGGGTAGCTTCCATAAGTGTCCTTTGTCTACCTGAAATCCTGTCACTGGGCTGCCACCTTAGGTGGAAAGCTTGCCAGGCGCTTCCCTGAAGTTCATCCTCCTCATGGTACACCCTCTGTTACCAGGACCCCATGTCCCTGGTGATCCTTTACCCCGGCCCATTCTAAATGCTCTTAGCTGGGCTGGGCCAGCTTTCTGTAACTATGTGCCTCCTGCATCTATTTTCCACCTTTAACTTTTGTTTTCAATTTTTCAATATTCTTACAGTTTCTGTGTGTCTTATTAACAGCATACAGGTGAATTTTTCCTTTATTTCCAATCTAGTCTGATAGTTGTTGCCTAACTGACAACCTGGTAGCACTTTCCATCAGCTTTTTTCCTCGGGCGCCTATTGTTGCTTCCTCTGGGCTCTTCTTCTCCTTCATTCTTCTTCTTAAAAATGTGTTTTCACCTCTTGGCAGATATCAGGTGCTTTATTTTTCATATAATATGTTGTGATTAAAAATGTTTAAAAACCACATTATCATTACTTTAGCATGTTTTAATGAAGTTTAAAATACCCCTACCCTTCTGAGCAGCTTGTGGTTCTTAGCATATTTTAACTTAATCACCCCTTCAACCGCCATGCCGTTCTCTTCCCCAGTGAGGTTGTGTGTCTCTCAGCCTACAAGGTGAACGTGGTTGCCGCTGTTGGTGGTGTTCAATGTCATCCCCCCTGCCGCTTTTACTTGTCTGATTGGCTTTCCATTCTGTGTTGTTCCTCAGACCTACCCTGTAGGCCCATCTCTTTACAAGTTTCCTTCATGTGGGCTGTTGGCAGTCAATCCGGCTGTGTCTGTGGGGGGCCCTTGTGCCGCCCAGCAACACCTATGAACCTCTTCTTGTAGCCTACAGGTGGCAGTGCAGAGCACCACAAGGGGGATAGTCCTTGGCCCATGGTGCACGCACAGGGCCTCGTGCTCCTTAGCATATGACGGCAGCTGCTGTAGGGCCTGGAGAGCCAGGCTGTTCCATGGCAATGAGCCCATGACTGTGTACAGCAATCGCGTGCCCGAGCGCTGCTTCCCCTGCCTACTTGTGACCACGGTGGAGGGTGAGGCCCCACGTCTCCATCGTCCTGTAGAAATAAACGCAAGCCACATGCGTGATTGTTAAATTTATGATATGGAAGTAAAAAAGAAAAGGTGTGATTACCTTAGTAATGCATTTTATTAAAGCGTAATATGTCCAAAATATTATCATTTCAAGACATCCCAGTAGAAGCAGGGTTAACCTGATACTTTACACACTTCTTCTGTGCCACATCCCCAGGATCTGACACATGGGCCCCACATGCCGCCCTTCTTGGTCAGAGCCACCCCTTCCCACCGCCAGTGACTGTTGTGCTGGACAGTGAAGACTGTGTGACCTGTGGGCACTCGATGTCCTCCTCATTCCAGGGGGCTGCTGCGTTCCAGCCGCCGAGCACCGTCTGAGGGAGGGAGTCCTGGCCACACTCCTTCTCTGGCTGATGGGTGTGTACGTGGTGGAGCTGCTCAGGTCGTTCTTCTACGTCACGGAGACCACGTTTCAGAAGAACAGGCTCCTCTTCTACCGGAAGAGCATCTGGAGCCAGTTGCAGAGCATCGGGGTCAGGTACCTGCTGTGGCCGCGTCTTCTGCCTAACCATGCTCTCTCTTTTTTTCTTTTTTTAAAAATATTTTTAATTAAATCATAACAGTGATTTACATAGTAAATCACTATAGTACGTTGATACTATCATGGGGTACAGGGTACTGTTTCTGTATACAATCTGAAATACTTTCATCCAACTGGTTAACATAGCCTTCATGTCTTTTTCTTAGTTACTGTGTTAAGACATTTATACTCTACATTTAGAGAGATTCACATGTACCCTTATAGGATGAATCATAGGCGTGATCCCACCAATCACCCTCCCTCCACCCACCCTCCCCCCTCCCCTCCCCTCCCCTCCCCTCCTTGACGGAAGTGCTGAGCATCCCCACCAGCATGTGCTTTTCAAGCTGTTCAGCCCTGCCTGGGTACCCACAGGGGTGCCTTGCTGGGCCCCGACTCCCTGGAGTCCCCTGGCTCCTCACCTGCCAGGCAGGGTTGGGCCAGGAGGTCTCTGGGACCCTGAAGCAGAAGGTGTTTCGGTGACAGTAAACCATTCCCACCCAGACCTACCCAGCTTCCACCTGCTCACTGTGGCTATGCCCAACCTGGGCCTGTGGCAGCTAAGTGCTGGAAACCCATGGGTGGTTTGGGGAGCAGATTCTGACCCTCACTGACTGCCCTGAGCAGCCTCCCTGCCCTCTGCGGCTGAAGGGATTTGGCCAGTGGGGGTACCCAAGGAGCCAGTGCGCCGCATGCAAGGGCCCTGTGAGGCCCTGGGCTCAGCCCTGCACTGGGTGCTGGGTGTCTGCCCAGGGACCACCCCGTCTGCAGGACCCATGTTTTTGTCGGGCTCTGTCACAGGCAGCACCAGGAGAGGGTAAAGCTGCGCGAGCTGTCAGGAGCAGAGCTCAGGCAGCGTCGGGAAGCCAGGCCAGCCCTGCCCGCATCCAAACTGCGCTTCATCCCCAAGCCCAGTGGGCTGCGGCCAATCGTGAATATGGATTACATCGTGGGCACCAGAACATCCCGCAGAGAGACAAGGGTGACTGTGCTTCTGCTTCATTTCCACTTTAGAGGATCTACCACATTTGGTGTCTTTAGGACGAGGGGCTGGAGGAGGGCACAGCACACCCTGAGTCATGGGTGGGCACAGCGTGGGGGCCAGGAGCCAGTGGTCTCTGCATCCATAAGAGCCGTGTATGGGGTAGATCCAGGAAGGGTGGGGCTGGGCTCCGGAGCCCCAGGGAGCAGCTGGTTGGGGCAAGGACACGGCAGGTCCCTGCGGTGCTATGGCCAGGTAGTCCTGCACCAGCGCTGTGGCACCACCTGCCTCCATACACCAGGGCAGAGGGGACAGGGTGTAACTGCAGCTGCTACCGCCAGCCTGCCGAGCTCTAGGACCCTAGACCTGGCCTCGGGTGTCTTCTAAGTTGCTATCAGCTCTGACCCTCCACCAGCGCTTCTGAGGGGGGTGGGCAGGGATCACATGAGGTTCATGTGTACAGCCAAGCGTAGGCACTGGGGGGGTCCCCTGAGACTCTGGGCCTGGGGTAGGCTACGCACAGGGTGCGGGGGCCCCTCTTTGACCTTCTCTCGTGCTCCCCACTCAGGCTCAGCGCTTCAGCACCAGCATCAAGACCTTGTTCAGTGTGTTGAACTATGAGCGGACGCGGCGCCCTGGCCTCCTGGGGGCCTCCGTGTTGGGCCTAGACGATATCTACAGGGCTTGGCGGGCCTTCGCACTGCGTATGCGGGCCCAGGATGTGGCGCCTGCACTGTATTTTGTCAAGGTGGGCCCTGTGACAGCTTGTTCACTCACCAGCCAGGTACTGTGGGCCATGCCAGGTCAGCCCTGCTTCAGGTCGCACATGTTAGCAGAGGGTGGTATTCCTGGGGTAGTCGCCAGCAAACCTGGCTCCTGGGTGGAGGCTTTGACCCTTCCCTTCAGCACATGGGCTCTCCAGCTCTGTACTCCAACTCCTAGGGCTCCTGCCCTCAGGGAGGACCCCCTTGGATGCCCATTCCTCTTCCAGAAGGAGCCAAGCACCTGGACATGAGCCCGGGGCCTCTATCCTGTGGGTCAGGAAGAGAGACAGGCCCATCCCACCCTGGGTCCTTAGGACCAAGACTACGGGGGTCAGTCAGCCAGAGCCCCATGGCAGGATGGTTGTGCATGGCAGGGGTGAGCCTGTGGACGGGGCTGTAAGTGCCACAGGGCCATTGAGGCATGAGCACTGTGTCCAGTGTTGCCTGGTACTGCCACACAGGTGGACGTGACGGGGGCCTATGACACCATCCCCCAGGCCAGGCTCGTGGAGGTGATTGCCAGCGTCATCAAGCCACAGGAGAACACCTACTGTGTGCGCCGGTACGCTGTGGTCCGGAGGACTGCCCACGGACATGTCCGCAAGTCCTTTAAGACACATGTAAGGCTCTTGGTGGGCCCGTGACCTGGACATGTCCAGGATGCATGTGTGTCCATGTCCAGACGTGTCTTATCCAAGTGCCTCTATGATGTAGGCACATCTGTGACAGACATATCTGTCACGCATGTGTGTGGCACGTGTGTGTGGTGTGGTTGTATCTGAAGCATGTGTATCTGTGACGCAGACGTATCTGTGGCATGATGGGCCCTCTCTCCATGGGGTGCTAAGTGGAGCTTCCTATGCTGGTAGGGCCCCTGCCGTGGTCACATGCTTATGTGTCGTTTGGTGACTTTTGCATTTGGGGTCCTCTCTCATGGGGCTGGGCCTTGGGGACTACAAGCCAGGTTTGGGTGATGAGGACAGGTGCCGGTGACGTGCTGGTGGCAGCTGAGCTGTATGTCCCCTGGCCGCCTCCCCCAGGATTCCCGGGCCACACCTGTGTGTGCCCAGGGGCTGAGGATGCCATTTGACTGTGTGAGGAAGGGTGGTGACAGAGCCTATGGCCTTAACAGGGCCAGAAAGAACCCTTCAGGTGGGGCTCCTGACCAAGGAACATTAGCATGCAGCATCTTGGGGACTTAACCCTCCAAAGCATAACTGCCACTGGGTAGGTAGAGGGATCCCCCAGAGCCTCAGGCTGGTGGTTGACACGGGAAGCCCACTGGGATGTATTTCTCTTCTATGGGGGCCTGTGCAGGCATCATGTGCAGACCTAGTGCACCACTCAGTTCCACTTTCCTGGTCTCCTGCTGGCCACACCTGCATTCAGGTGCAGGTCTTCAGGGCCAGAAACGCACCCATGCCCTACCCAAAGTGGCCACCCCACACCGCCACCAGCTCTGAACTCCACTGCAGTGACTTACACCGTCAGTCGCCATCGTGTGCCGTCAGACAGGAAGTGGCTTTGGGCATCTTAAGATTCCGCTGTGTCCTCTCATGGCAGCATTGTGTACGAAGGCACCACATCCTTCATGCCATGAGTGGGGTTTGTGGGCTAGGACTGGTCCTAAGTACGTTGTGTGTTTTGGTGAGCAGAACCCTCATCTCCTGGATGGGGTCGCTAGTTGCAGGATGCTCATTCAGTCCCAGCGGCACTGCTAGTGCACGTCCAGAGTGGTCGTGCAGCTGTGTTCCCACCTGTGACACATGCACGGCCAGTTGAAGTCCTCACAACACAGGTGGTGTGGCCAGTCTGGTGGGTGTCCAAGCCATCTCAAGGGCTTTCCTGGTGATGCAGCGTGCTGGGTGCTTATCATGTGTCACTCTGTGGCTGTCTTCTTTGTGGACTCAACTGCTGGTCCAGCCACTTCCTGTTTGATAATGGGGCCATCTGCCTTCTGTTAGTGATTTGTGGGAGTTCTTTATATGTTATGGGGACAAGCCTGTCACCAGACACACATGCGGTGAATGTCTTTGCAGTCTGTGCCTCACTTTTGAAAGGTCTTCAATTTTAACAAAGTCCACTTTATCATCGTTTATGGCTAAAACTGTGAGACCGTGTCCCCCAAGGCCATGAGGGTGCTCTTCCTTTTAGAAGGACACTGAGTGTCTCAGCTTTCACGTCTAGGTCCATTTGGGACTAATTTTTGTGCATGATTTAAGGTCAAGGTCAACTGTTTCCTCCACACAGGTGTGGAGTTGCGCTGACACCCCTCATCGGAAAGGCTGTGCTTTCCCCGAATCACAATGACTCCTATGTAAATAAAGCCCGTGGTCTGCTCTGTGCTGTCCTGCTGTTGGTCCCCTGTGCACAGCTGTCAGGCAGGACTTCCCTGTACCCAGCTGTGTTCCTATTGCTAGAATTTCCCTGTGAGTGAAATGTGGGTCAGTTTTCTCTTGATTTTGTGAGCTCTGAGGTGACACCCCTTTTCATGTCTTGGTATCGACAATCTCCATTTTCTTTTCCTAGGTCAATCTTAGTAGAGATTTTTCATTTTATTAATCTTTTCAAAGAACTGTATTGTTTGAATTTTCTCTACTATTTGTTTCCTATTTGATTGATTTCTCCTCTTTAATTTCTCATATTTTCTTTAGGTTTAATTTATTCTTTTTCTAGCTGCTTGAGGTGCAAACTTTGGTTATGGATATTTGAACTTTCTTTCCTAAACAAGTATTTAAGGTTATAGATTTCTAAAGAACTGCTTCAGCAATATCATGAGTTTTGATAAATTGTGGGGGTTTTTTGTCATTCAGTTCAAAGTATTTGCTAATTTTTCTTATGACTTTTGTTAACCCACGGGTTACTGAGAAGTGTGTTGTTTACTACATAGTTATAAAAAGTGCAGGGATTTTCTATGCATCATCCTTTACTGCTTCCCAGGTTAGTTCTGATAGTTCAGTCACGCTTTGGGATTTTAGCCCATGGCACTATGCAAACTCATAGGGCCTGGGAATGCTGTGGAAGTCAGGTGCTCATCTTATACTCTCTTGAGCTGAAGGCCCTTGGGGGGAGCCTCAGAGTTCTGCCTTGGTGTCCCCTTTGTGCACTGGGTCTCGGTCCCGAGGTAAGTGGCAGGCCTCGGGCAGGAAGCTGTGGGGCTGCCTCCCACACTCTCCGGGCTCTGCATGCCATGGCTGCACAGTGGATCAGGAAGACAGGAGAGGTCAACATGCTTGTGCTTGGCGGTGGGTGGGGTTGGGCATGGGAGCGGTCTGCAGGAGTGCATGCCCAGCTTGTGGCCAGGGATGGCTACATTCACTGCTCACCTTCTCCTCTGCCGCCAGGTCTCCACTGTTGAGGACCTCAAGCCATACCTGCGACAGTTTGTGGAGCACCTGCAGGCGACCAGCTCACTGAGGGACGCCGTGGTCATTGAGCAGGTCCCTGGGGCTGCCCCACGGAGGGTTCACACCTGACAGGAGGGTCACATGGCTTATTGCTGACAGAGTACTCTTTGGGGTAGGGGAGCCACAGGTGGGATTTGTGACCATCGTCAGGGAGGGTTCCCCGCCCTGTCCTGAAACTTACCCACACTAGGCCAGGCCGCTGCTGTAGGCAGCCACATCTCCCGCTCTTTGCTGCCTCTCAGGGTTCCATCCTGCTCTCTGGCCTCTCTGTGAGTGCGCCACAGAGGCTGATGCTGGAGGGACACACATCACCTCCCTTAGGAGGACAGATTGGATTTGACCTGTACACTCCTTTGAGCCGCCATTGAGGATAAAAGTCACTTACCTTCTGAGCAGAGACCATTTCCCTCAGCCCAGGCATCAGTGGTCCCTCTGCTCACACACCTCTGTGGCTATTGTGGGTCCTTGTTTTGTGCACTTTCCAGTCTTAGGGGACAGTCACGCCCCTGAATGATAATGGCGTCACCTGCCAGGACCGAGGCCTGGCTCAGGAGGCCGGGTGGATGGTTGAGTGTGGGTGTGCTGTCCAGGCTGAGGGTATCTGGCCTGGCTGGATGCACAGGTGGCCCAGAGGACGTTTAGCATTGAGCCAGCTGGGTCCCACCAGCATGGTCTGTGGACATACACCCACTGACAGTGGCCTTGGACTCCAGTCTAGCCCTCACTCTACCATGAAAACTTGCCCCGAAAGGGACATAAGGCTCTGCCCAGGCCTCGTGCTGGGCCATCCTCACACCTGCTGGATCACTCCAGTGTCCCATGTCCCCACTTGCTCTCCAGAGCTCCTCGATGAACGAGGCAGGCAGCAGCCTCTTTGACCTCTTCCTGCTCTTGGTGAGGAACAGCGTCGTCAGGGTCGGGCGCAGGTGAGTCAGCGCTCAGCAGGTGGCTCCCACAAGACCAGACTCCCTCCAGTGTCGAGGTGGCAGAGGTCACTGGCTGGCAGATGGGGTTGGGCGTGACTAGGGAGTGTTTGAGCCCTTGGTCTGTGAGTGCTGTGCTGCTGTGGGTGAGCACCTGGGTGTCGTGTGCTACGGGAGAGTCATGTGTGCTGGAGAGAGTCTCACATGCTACGGGAGAGAAGTGGGCTGGTGAGTCACTTCCACTGCCTGAGAGAGTCACTTCCCCTAGAGGAGAGAGTCACATGCACTAGGGGAGAGAGACACATGTGCTAGGGAGTCTTCTCACCCATGTCTATTTTCTGTCTCCCTGTGCAGCCTCCACAGCCAGAGGCACAGGTCCCCCACAATCTGTACCTCTCTCACTCCTGTGCTGACAGCCAGGCAGTACCCACCTCCCAGCCATGTCACCTGCTCTGGCGTTTGAGTGCCTTTGGGTAACCTTGCTAAATCACTGCAGCAAAAGCAGGCACCTTCTGGCCTCCGTCCGCACCTGGCCCCAGCATGTGTCAGATGAGATGGTGTTGGAAGGAATTGGGTTCCCGCCATGGTCACTAAAGGGCGAGTTTGGTCGTGGGAGTCTCTCTAAGTCATCCCGTTATGGTGGGTCACATCTGTAATCCCAGCACCTTGGGAGGCCAAGGTGGGTGGATCACTTGAGTGGAGGAGTTTGAGACCAGTCTGAGCAAGAGTCTGGGACCAGTCTGAGACTGTCTCTACTTAAAATAGAAAAATTAGCTGGGCATTGCGGCAGGTACCTATAGTCTCAGCTACTCAGAAGGCTAAGGTAGGAGAATCCTTTGAACCTAGGAGTTTGAGGTTGCTGTCATGCCACAGAGTAAGACTCTGCCTAAAATATATATATAACTTAGTTATTATTATTGGGTTACAAGTAACCACTGACATTATTTTGTTATTTACTAAAATACAGTTGGAAATACCGAGAGATAGACCCTGGGAAGGCACAAGCTGCAGGTGGGCAGTAGGGTGACTGGACAGGGACGCACCTGTGCATGTGTGTGGATGGCTCCCAGGTTGAGGCAAAGTCCCCTCACCCAGAGAAGGCACCACGCTCTTTGCCTGGTTGTGAATTTTATTAAGATAGATAATCCCGCATGTTGGAGGCCAAGTGGCCAGGCTCCCGCCTTCCCTAGGGAGGTCACCATGTTGCTACACCTGGTCATGAGGAGACCCGTCCATCTCCGGCCCCAGGACACAGACAGGCCCAAAACTCAAGTCCCACCGTGGCCCAGTTCAGCCTCTGAATAAAAAAACCTCTTCAGAGCTCATGCAGCTTCAAAAGTTGAGGGCAGAGTGAGTCCCCTATGGCCTGAGTGGGCTCACACCACATCCCCTGCCACCTCCTGGGTGGGCACATTTGTCTCTGTGTGCATTAAAGCCACAGTCATCTGGAATAATGGCAGGAGGCCCTAGAGAGTAGGGCCTCTTTATAATGACCATGTGCCCCACTTCCCAGAAGTAGCATAAATCCCATCTCCAGAGTGGTTGAGCCCTGGCTTACTGCCAGGAGGAGTCCTGAGTGGCTGGGAGCACGGAGGCCGTGCTTGCTGCTCCCACCTTCATGTCCCAGGAGCTGCTCTGATCAGAGCGTTTCCATGTGTATCACTGCATTGTCACGCCGAGGGAAGGCCCTGACTGCACGTGGGCCAGCTGTCTGCAGTGTAGACAAATCGCCTCAGAGTGACTGAGTCCCAGACGAGTGTTCCTTTCAATTCAAGTGTCTGGTGGTTTAAATGAACTTCTTACTTAAAATTTTAAAAAATTAATGAGTCAGGGAACAAGGGCATGGTCACACAACTTTATGTACATTAGACCATCTGCAGTCACAATGGTAGCCCGGAGAATGGGGCTAACTGGTCCTTAATTTGGGGCATGGTCCAGGTGTTGCTGTGTGTGCGTCTGTGTGAGTGCATGTGTGCATGCGTGATGGTGGGCAAACAACCCCTAACCACATCCTGCCCACAGGTACTTCGCCCAGTGTCAGGGCATCCCACAGGGCTCTGTGCTGTCCACGCTCCTCTGCAGCCTGTGCTACGGTGATATGGAGAACAAGCTGTTCCCCGGGCTGCGGCGAGATGGGTGAGCCTCTGCCTCTGCTTGCCACAAGACTTTGTTTGAGGGGTGGATTCACTCTTGGCTCTTTTTCTGGGACTCCAAATGTTAACAACATTTTGTCCTAAAGAACCAGGCAGGGCCATGTGCCCTTCCTCACGTCGCAGCCTTGGTGGAACTGGGGTGTGCCCTGGCTGTGCCATGGGACAGGTGTCTGAGTGACACGCCAAAGGGTGCCCAGGCCCTTCACATCCACCTGGGACTCCTTGGGGCCTCCGAGAGATGGCTGTGCGGGTGGTGGCTTCACATGGCCCTGGCCTGTGAAGATCCCAGTGAGCCTGGGCCTGGCCTTAGTGTAGTCAGCACAGCTCCTGAGCATCGGGCCACCTGTGCTGTGTGACACTCAGTGAACTTTCATTGTAACAGCACAGCACTGAGAAACAATGGCTAGATAGAGAAGGGGGTGCCACGTGCGCACTGGCCTCACACAGCCATTTATTTGATGTCTGGGTTTTTTTTCTTGGGTATCTAAAAGTGTAGTTTTAATTAGAGCAAAACCACAATGATGAAGCTTTCTTAATTAAGAGTAAGCTTTCTTAATTTAAACATTCCAGTTTAAAGTACTTTTGTGTAAAAGAGAAAAATTGAGCTTCACCACCAGGGGAGGGTCCTCCAGCCACCAGCACATAGGTGAGCCCTCCAGGACAGTGCCAGACACCAGGGCACTAAGACCACGCAGCATGCTGTGCCTGGCTTGCCCATGGGCAGCTTCTGGGCCTGGCAGAGTTAAGGAGCATAGCTGTGCCTAGGATGGGGCAGCAGGTGGCTCAGAATTGCACCTGTTTGAGCCTCAGTTTCCCACCATTTCCACAGGTGTCTGCCTTTGCTCTCGTCCCAGCCAGTGGAGCCCACAGAACCCAGTGCTTGTTTGCTGATGACGAATTTCTTTCTCAGCCAAACAGGGAGAGCGTTTCTATTAGAAACTTATATTTCTTGTTCAGCTGACTTGGAGAATTACTTGTTCTTGCCCCTGTCAAATATGTAAATAACTTGGACATTCAATCCTTTCAGGTTCTCTGTAAAGCAAATATAACATGTAACGTGCTCCCGGTGCTTCCCCCGCAGGCTGCTGCTGCGCTTGGTTGATGATTTCCTGCTGGTGACTCCGCACCTGACCCAGGCAAAAGCCTTCCTCAAGTAAGGGTCCTTGCCTGCATCTGTGTGGGGGGCTCTGTGGCCTGTGTGTGATAGACGAGCCGGTGGCAGTGCATCCCAAGCTCATGTTCTCCCACCCGGGCAGCGTCACCATGCAAGTGCTGTCCTATGCTCTGAGGCCTCTGTCAGGGCTGGGTCTGCAAGAGCAGAGGTGTCTGACCGGGCAGTGGCCTTTGTGAGAGGGAGGCACCACAGCCGGGGGCCCATTCCATGGAGACTCTCACAAGTCACATGCATGTGGGATGTGCTGGTGGCAAGTGACTGCTACACGGGAGGTCTCCAGGTATTGCAGTGGGGTGGCAGCCCCCAGGCCCTGAGGGAAGGCCCCAGAGCGCTGTGCCTGGGAGCGGCTTCCTCCCTGGGACTTCTGTCCCTTGTAGGCTGAGAGGCTGGGCCTGGCAGAGCTGGACACCCTTAAGGGTTTTGGGGGAGGCTGGGAATTCAGATTCCCTAAATGCTGGCATCTGAGGCATGGGGATTGCGTGAGGGGCTGGTCCACAGTTGGTTTTGTGGCTGTAACTAAAACTAGGTGATAAGTATGGGGGGAAAGGGTGCTCAGTATAGAATGAGAAAGGAATTTTTCTTGGCCAACATTGGGATATGAAAGTATAAATTTATTTTATATTAGAGTGAGAGGAGAGGGGTTGAGAAAGAGGAAGAGAGAGCACGGGGGAGATGGAGGCATTCCAAAGGAAGAAGGGCAGCTTGAGAGCCAGCAGGAAGCTGAGTTTAAGCGGGAGGTGCCTGCAGCAGAGTTCACAGGTGTTGTGAAGACACACTTTCCTATGTTTCCAATCCTTAGCGATGATTGTTCCTCTTCACGGATGCTCAGGAATCATTTGAGGCTTGAAGGAATAAATTCTAAAAGACAAAGAAGCTAGGGAAATGTAAAGAGAAAGAATTCACTTTCCTTTTGCTCTGTTGGGTTTCTCAATAGTTTGTAGAAACAGATCCACAAAGGGGGAGGGGTCCTGCTGGCAGGAGAAAGAACAGGAGGGAGATTTTAGTTTTTTTAAAACCTACACATTAATAATTTTCCTATGATTTCACTATGAACATGCCCACACCCACATCAAGCCCAGGGGTCCTTGGCTTAGAGCAGTGATCTGAAGGACCTGGGCCCTCTCAGGGTGCCAACAGAGTCTCTGGGTTTGCATTAGAAAGTGTGATATTTCTAGGGCAGAGTAATGGTGAAGTTTATAATTGAACTCTCAAAAGAAACGTTGCCGTCTGAGAGGCAGCTTCCAGGTGGCTTGCTTGGCCACTGGGCTGTCTGAGGTGCAAACCCTCCTGGATGCCCCACCTGCACCTGCCCAGCAGGACCCCTGGCTTGGCCTGAGCTCCACCTGCCTCTAGGGGCTGAACGCCCAATGCACCTCCTCAATAGGAGGCTGGCACAGAGCTGGGTGACGGTCAGCAGGAAATCAGATGAGGCCAGTCCAGGGACAGGGAAAGACTAATATTAGAGAGGAAGAGCAGAGTGGGGACCGACCTGATGTTAGCTCCACTCCCACACAGTTGCAAAAGGCTTTTATTAGCCACTTCTGTATGGCTGGAACAGGGCAGTGAGTCCAGAGTGTTGCCCAGGGCTCTTCTCCAGTGCAGGTGGGGGTGTGGGCCTACCCTTAGGGTCAAGGTGTAGGTGTCTCTCTAATAATGGCCAGGATATGGGTAGAGTGTTTCCAGGAACATAGCCTTGAAACATTCCTGGAGTCTGAGGGAGGTGATTGCTTGTTTTCAAAAATGGCCACACCCTCGTCAGAGTTATGAGAATTCCTTTCCCACACTTAAGCCCCGAGGACCACAAAAATTTAAGTTTATTAAAATTAAATGAGGACAAATCCAGGTAAAAAGCATTAGCCAGCTCTGAAACCCTCAGGAGTCACATGTGGCCAGTGGCTGTTAGATAGGGCAGGGCAACAATCATTGCTTCTGCGTGGGAAGTTCTGAAGGTGGCTATGCTAGGAGGGTCTTGGGCAGGAAAAGGCCCGAGCCAGTGGGAGGTAGGGGTGTATGTTCAGATGTAGGAAGAGGCCGGCCTGCTGCAGAGTGACTGTCAGTAGGGCAGAGCATGCTTAGAGTCCTGGGCCTGGCCTCAGGCTAGGTAGATGCATCTATGGCAGAACTCCCCTCCCTCCAGGAAGGCTCTGGTGGGACACCCCGGCCACGTGGTGAGGACGCCTTCCCCATGTGAGGCTGCTGGCACTGCAGCATCTGACTCAGATGCCGGCTGGTGGTCATAGGTGTCTTGAGAAGGATGATGATGAGGTGGGGATTTTTTGGTCCAGGTCTTGGTCTACCCCAAGCCACAGATGAGTGTTTGGATGACTGGGGACTGTGGCCACCTGTTCATACAGGCCTGACAGTACCAGGGCCCTTCTAGGTCCTGGCTGTCTGGGTCCACCCTGGCACCCACCCACTTTCCACTCTCCACGTAACACAACAGGCACCCTCACGTGCAGCGTGGGGCAGCATCCTCTCTGCCCCCGGCCACCTGCCTGGGGCTTCTAGGAGCATTCATGAGGTATCAGAGCCCTCCTAGGCTGTGATCCCTCAGCCCTGGTGATGTGGCCCTCTGCCTTAGGACCCTGGTCAGGGGTGTCCCCGAGTATGGCTGCGTGGTGAACTTGCAGAAGACTGTGGTCAACTTTCCTGTGGATGACGACAGCCTGAGTGGCGCGGCCTTTGTCCAGCTGCCAGCCCACTGCCTGTTCCCCTGGTGTGGCTTGCTGCTGGACACCCAGACCCTGGAGGTATTTGGTGACTACTCCAGGTAAGTGTACCTGGTAGGCAAGGAGCCGTGCGCCTTCCTGACCAGAGGCACTGTGGTTCGCCTATGCCCTTTCCTACTTCTGTGGGGGCAGATGCTACTAACCCCAAGAGTCAGAGGCCACAGGCTGCCTCCTCTCCCCACTAGGGGTGTGAACAAGGTGAGGGAAACCCCAGGTGAGCAGCTTTCTGTGCTGCTTTGATGAGAGGCAGTCATGTGGCAGAGTCGACCACCAGTGTGCTGTCTGGACAGCTGGCTTTGAAGCCAGAGGCATCAGGCCTTGTTGGGCATGAGTCTCTTTGCTGGGAGGACACTCACTCTAACGCTCACTGTGGCCTCCCTTGATGTCAAGAGTCCCTCATTGTGGCTCTCAAAGAGCCAGGGCTGTAGAATGTGTTGGTCTCTGTATGAGGTCCCCAGAGTCCCATTTCCCTAGCCACGAGAGCTCAGCCCAGCTGTGGAGTACAGAGTTCATGCTCTTTCCATTATGCATGAAAAATATAAAAATTCTGGAATAGTAGTGGAAGATGGCATCCTCTTATTGGCCCGGTAATTCCAATTATTATGAATTGAACAGTGCTTTGTTCTTAAGAACTAGCTCTGTGAAGGCAGAGGCCAGTGCAGATAGATGCTCTCTGCTCAGGCACCCAGCATGGCCCCGACCTCAGCCTCTTATGCCACTGCCCACCTACACCCCGTGCGCCAGCTCCTCAGCTTCCCACGCTGCCCCGCAGTCCATGCTTCCTGTTTCCACAAGCCCAGCTCCTTTCTGTGCCCATCGCACTCCCAGTCTCTCTGACTCAGGGTAGTTTCCCGATTTCCTAGGCTGCCAGCTGCTCCTTGCTTTTAGGGCTCACTTCTGTCTCTGCCAGGCACCTCTATGGCACAGACCACACCAGTCAGTCACAAACCTTCTGCCTGCTTGTTCTGTTCCCCACCAAGCTATGGCCTTTCTGAGGATGGACACCCCTGGCTCAGCCCCAGCACAGCATTAGTGAATATAACTCATTTACTGATGAAACAATGAGGAAAATATGTCCTCTGTGTGCAGACAGAGTGCCCTGATGCCAGGTGGAGGCTGGCACAGGACCAGTAAGGGTCAGAGAATCATTGTGTCTCATGCTGGAACATTCTGTGCTTCCAAAGGCCATTCGGTCAGCGGGTGCCCACTTGGAGGGTGGCTCTAAAGCTCAGCTGCAGGCAGTGACACAGATGTATTCACGGTGACCACTCAGAACCCAGGGGAAGGCACTGTTAGGGTACGGAGAAGAAAATGGGCAAAATGACCAAGAAATGTCTAAAAGAGTGATGTGGTGGGACATTCTTACCAGATTTTAGTTCACCCCCAAACAGCCCGGATGATAGAATGTGGTAAGAATTAATCGACAGACCCATCAAACAACACAGAGGCTCCATCTTTCAAAAGTGTTTGTTAACGTGGCAGGTGGTGCAGCTGACAGGAAAGAGATTAGTTTTTTTCTGAGACCATAGGAAAAAAAAAAAAAAGTTGTACTTTACCTTACAACATATACCAGGACCAATTCTAGGTAGAAGAGAAGTTAAATGCAAATAGCAATGATATCAAAAATAAAACAAAAAGACTCAAAGAAAACAGAGGTGACCATTCACCAATCTGTGTTGGGAAGGACACCAGTGGGCAGGCAGACCCATCAGTAAAGGATGGTGGGTTGTTCTGAGCAAGTAAAACCCAAGACTTTGCTATACTGGAGTGAAAGTGGTCACTGCCTCTGAGGGTCACGTGCAATGACTCGTGGCAGCTGCTGAGCACAGCGTGTCAGCTCTCAGCATCCGTGAGAGGGAGAAGGAAAGGCTGCAGATACAGTGGCCATTCCTGTCCCCCTCACTGTGCCCCCAGGGTGCTGCATGGGTCGGACTCAGAGGCCCAAGGCAGGCTGGGGCAGTTGTGAGTGGGTGGGCTGTAAAGGAAGGCAGGTGTGTTTGGTGAACACTCAAGAAAGGTTCTGCTCCCAGTTGTCAAATACAGCCCCCTCCCTCCTGCCCCTTGTCGCTGAGGGCGGGACTCAGGCTGGGGCCCTTCCAGCCTCCAGCCTGTTCTCTGGAACACAGCCTGTTTGAATGAACTCTTAGAAAGCACCTGGAAATCTGTCCTGAGAAATGAAATGACCCAGGATGTCGCCAAAGATGCTTCTTGACTGTTTTCAGGTGCTCTGGGTGGCGTGTCCTGCCATAGCAAGTAACAGCAGCTGACAGATGTTAGGTGTCAAAGAAGAGACCCCACTCTGCCACTCGAACCCTCACATTCTCCACGATTTGTAACAAAAACAAAATTTACTTTGGACTAAAAGTGTTCAGAAGTCAGATAGGAAAGGGTGCACCCCAGGGTGTGGGCCGTGTACCACGTCCATCTGTCTGACTGTCCATGTGAGAGTGTGGGGTGTGGCAGCAGCTGCTTCTCCCCAGCTTTTGGGCCCACCTTTCTCTGTGGCCATGAAGGCAGGCACCTGGTATAGCCAGCGCTGCCTAATCCTCCCATCCCCAAGATTCACACACAAGTTGCTTCTCTGTACTCGAATCACAGTGACCTGGGGAAAGGCACCAGCTGCTCTGGAAGCTCAGGGCTGGTGACCTTGTGGTTTGTTGCGGCATTAGGGCTCTGGGCTGAATCCTGTGCACATTTTGCTAGAACACACAATGAGTGAATGTTTGTAGGAACTGGGTTATGTGTTCTGGTTGTGTGCGTCGTCCAGGGGTCCCACTCATGCATGGGCACGCACTGAACCCTGCTGGTGTGTGGAGCAAGCAATGCCCACAGACAGGGCATCCTGTGGCGCACACCTCAGGCTGGGTGGGTGGGGGAGGTTCTGGAGCTGCCTTGGGGGCCATGTGGGTCTGACACCTGCCTCCTATCTCAGTTATGCCCGGACCTCCGTCAGAGCCAGCCTCACCTTCAGTCCCGGCTTCAAGGCTGGCAGGAGCATGCGTCACAAACTGTTTAGGGTCCTACGGCTGAAGTGTCACAGCCTCTTTCTGGACTTGCAGGTGAGTGGGCTGGTGGTGGCCACTGCAGAGTTCAGAGTTCAGAAGGCTCTGGCCTGAACGTCATGCCTCAGGGCTTGGGGGTTGGTGGTTCTGTTAGTGTGGCGAGTGTATGGACACGCATATGGGGGCACATACAAATGCTAATGTGCACATGAGTGTGCCCACCCACAGAGGTATGTGTGCCATGTGGGCAGGCACATGGATGCGTGTGCAGTGTGCATGAGGGAGCAGGTGTATACATGTGTGGTGTGCATGAGGGAGTGGATGTATGCATGTGCGGTGTGTATGAAGGAGCAGGTGTATACATGTGTGCATGAGGGAGTGGGTATATGCGTGTGTGGTGTGTATGAAGGAGCAGGTGTATACATATGTGCATGAGGGAGTGGGTGTATGCGTGTGCGGTGTGTGTGAAGGAGCAGGTGTATACATGTGTGGTGTGCATGAGGGGGTGGGTGTGCTCATGTGTGGCGTGCGTGAAGGAGCAGGTGTGTGCGTGTGCGGTGTGCATGAGGGAGTGGGTATGTGCACGTGCATGCAGTATGCATACATGTGTGCAGTGTGTGTGCATTCCTGAGAGGTGTATATGTATGTGTGGGTGTGTAGTGGCACTTGTGTACTGATAGTCCCCACCTTTGTAGGGCGGAGGCCCCAGTCTCCAAGCTGTGGCCCCTGAGGAGGCATCCTTGCAGGGACTGGCCAGGCCAGGGGTGGCACTGGCCTCACTCCTTCCTGCTTGTTGTCCCTGGGGTGAGGGACAGTGTCTTATCACAATGTCCCTCTTTCTTGTTTCATTTGACTAGATGATAAAACAGTGAAAATATGGAATCCCAGAGAAGTTTCTGATATTTCTGTTTCTCTCTGTGTCTCCAGGTGAACAGTCTCCAGACAGTTTGCATAAACATGTACAAGATCCTCCTGCTTCAGGCCCACAGGTGACCAGAAGGGGAGGCACTGCGCTGGGAAGGCAGAAGTGCAGCCTGGGCCAGGTCTGCCCAGGCAAAGGAGGAGGCAACGGCTGCTTGTCTCCTTTGCATAGTTCCATGTTCTCGTCACTGCGTGGGAGCTTCCTATCTCGGTCCATAGGTGGCAGTGCCAGCAGAGGTGGCCCCTGGCTCCCCACATCCCCATATGCTGACCCTGGCCTATGGGACCATCCTGGAGGGTGTGGGAACCGTCCCAGAGATGCTTAGAGTGAGGCTCAGGGGCCTCCTGAGCAGGCAGTAGGATGGCAGTGCCTTTGCAGGTTTGGGACCCCAGACAGAGTGAGCAAAGTGGTCACAGGTGTGTAGCACCAGCCCCCTACCTACCCTAGCAAGGAGCAGCAGGGCAGGGCTCCCAGATCAGCTCAGCCGTCCATGTGCTCAGGCCTGACAGTGCTTCTGACACATTCCCTGGTCCCATGGCCTCTATCTGGAAGGAGAGACTGGGCTGATGGTCACTGGGTAGGGCTCATGCAGATGGGGACATGGCCACCTTAGGCAGCCTGTGTCCCCTAGGAAGCCAGACACTGTCACTTCTTAAGCTGGCCACCTCACCAGGCTGCAGGCACACAGTGTAGGACTTTGCTTTCTGTGACTTCCGGCCAGCACCATGCAGCTCAGGGACGGGCCAGCTTGCCGTGACTTTATCATAGAACGAGGGACTGGTCTGCCTCCACCTGCGGTTGGAGCCAGCACTGCACCAGACTCTGGTCTGAGTCAGGGCTATGTTGAGGCACCTAAGGGGGCCATCTGCACCAGGCACGGGTTCTTGTCACAGCTGCCAGAAGAGTTCTTTCCACAGTGTCATACCACAAACAAGTCTGGCCCCACAGTGCCTTGTATCAGACAGGGCCAGTGCCATGGTACAGCTGCCACGGCTTGCTCAGCTAAGGGTGTCCTTCCCTTCTTGCCTGCCTCTTTGCGGCTGGGCTCCTCCTGTGGCAGCCTTTCCCTAGCTACATGGAAATACATTGAGAGGGTGACAAGGGGTGCCCCCGACATGGTCACAGCCAAGAGGTGGAGGCGGCTACAACAAAGTAACTTCACCCCGCAAGTCCAGCTGTGTGATAACTCAGGCAGATGATGTTCCCAGGCTCTGTGCTCCCAGGCTCAGTGCTCTCAGTGTTGGTGCTCACAGGCTCGGTGCTCTCAATGTTGGTGCTCCCAAGCTTGGTGCTGTCAGTGTTGTGCTCCCAGGCTCGGTGCTCTCAGTGTTGGTGCTCCCAGGTTCGGTGCTCTCAGTGTTTGCGCTCTCAGTGTTGGTGCTCCCAGGCTCAGTGCTCTCAGTGTTGGTGCTCCCAGGCTCAGTGCTCTCAGTGTTGGTGCTCCCAGGCTCAGTGCTCT